TTTTCAGCAACTTGTGGATTTTTCCTCTAGGCCGTCCAGTCCCCATAGCAGGGAAAGAATGGGTGATCCTGAGAGTTCTGATGCTTTGAGGAAAGCTGCTGGGCCCAAACCTTTTCATGAAAAATCTGGACCAAATACAGATGACGAGGGCAACGTTTCTGTCAGGGTTGGAAAAACTTCTACATCTTTGGCTCTCAAGGATTCACATTCAAGAAAGACACAACAGCCAACCAGGTCGCTGTTGCTATATTTTATTGGCTTGGGTCTATTGATGTTCTGGAACTTGACCTAACACGGTTTATGGTTTGTGTTCATGTCTTTGTACAGTGACTCAATACATGACAAGAAGCACCTTGAAGAACATAATGGGAGGAAAGAAATTTCAACAACTTCTAAAACCTCTTTGGTTGTAAAAAGGATGGAATCTTATGGTGATTGTGCTAGACCTAAGGACAAGAAAGTAGCTGGGGCATATGACACCAAGAATGGTCATTCACCACCAGAAATGGAAGGTCATATAGATAAACCATCAAGGAAGTATGAACAGAATGGCTCGTTTGATTCTCCTACTAAGGAAAGTGATGAGTACAGAGCAAAGGTAAAAGAAAAGAGGAAGCACAAGAGGTCCCACAGGAAGGAGGTAGAATCAGATGATTGTTCTAGCTCTGATTCTTACGAGGAGAGGAAGGAGGCAAAACGAAGGAAAAAGGAAGAAAAGAAATTGAAGAAAGAGGAGCGGCGTAGGCGTCGAGAGGAGAGACGCCGGAAAAGGGATGGAGGCCGTGCAGAGAAGGCGAGAGATGGTGCTCGTAGTTTGTCTTCTGATCTTGCACGAGATCAATCTGAGGATGAGAGTGTTAAAAGGAAAGGGTCACGGGCGAAACCCTCTCAAGAAACAGAGGCTGAGCCAAAAAGGCTTGAGATTGAGCTTCGTGAGAAGGCCATTGAGAATCTTCGAGCCCATAAGGGCATTGGCAATTAAACTTTTTATCTCTAGAATTCATTAGCTGCTATTTATTATGTTATACTCTATTGTTTTCTTCTTTTTTTTTGTTGTCGTCCAAACCTTCCATTTTCTGGATTAATGTATTTTTATATCTGTTTAATGTGTTCCGTCTTTAATGGTGGCAGCTCAAATGGATAATGAGGATTTCCTGAGTATCATGAGTGAAACTTATGCTGACTTTCCTGCTAAATTTTCTGGTAATATGTTTTTCACTTGGTGGTTGATTTTTGTCTTTTGATGATTCAGCTGAGGCCAGTCATGGTCGGGACATTATTATAATTTTTTTTCCATCATCTGGGCTCACCTATAGCTTTGTGCACAAGAGAGAATAGCTATTTAGTTCTCACTGCTGACAGATCTGCTTTATTAATTTTTGGGTTGACTACTATTACTATTAACCTTGAGGTTAAGCACAGTATCTAAAAAAGCTTATTATTTTTCAAACTTACAAATATCCTTTACCTTACGATTTTTGTCTAAGCATTTGCACCGATCAAATGAGGTATCTGACAAACACAAGGTAGTAGAAATTTAGGAGAACTAGGTTGAACTTCATTGTGTGTATGTGTGTGTGTGTGTGTGTATTGCTCCTTACTTTTTGGTATTATTGTTATTATCATGAAGTTAACTTTGTCACTGAAGGAGCTTTCTGATTGATTTATAGATATGAGTATTACCACCTAGGTGACTTGGTTGAGCAGATCAACTGCAGCTACTTAGTTTGGACTGTTTAACAGGTGAACCTTCATATCCAAGTTTTGGTTCTCGACTGATTGATGTGGTAGGCTGAGATGTATACAATGCACGTAAATAATGTTAAATTGCTGATTTAGCCTCTGCATGAATTGCAGCTTGAGGGTTTTTTAAAGTAATTATGATCCGGAGGTTATGTAAGCATTCTGTGATGGCATTGGAATCAAAATTATTGGTGTAGTATTTACAGCTAGTTGAACTCCCCTCAATTCTTTTTTGCAATCTTTATCTTGTTTGCTAAATAACTGTTGTACGATTCAACATTTACGAGGTTGAGAAATACTTTGGTTTTTTGAGGAGATGCTTTTTGATGGGGCTTATGACTCTCGAGGCACTTCGGTACATCTACATCAGCTGAACCTTTTACCTCTCTGTTGCCCATTTTCTTTTCCTCTCTAACTATGCACAGCATGTAATCTTGATGTGAATGACTATTTCTTCTGCAGCTGTGCTCCATTCAGTTGTATCAGAGCTCACTTGTTGGTTGATTGTAGGCTTCTATTAACTCTCACCCTGACTCCTAATTTTAAGCCATCAAATGACTTGGGGATTCCTATGCAATTTATTTACTCTCTCTCTCTCTCTCTCTCTCTCTCTCTCTCTCT